CGTACATTCCTTGGGTCATCGCTGAATTCTTTGTGGTTCTCATCGATCCTTTGCCACTGACTACAATCAGCCAGGTGTGCAATCTTATCATCATCCACCTTGCGCTCATCATCCCACCATGTCATGAGTGTGGCTTCTTTAGGGTTTAAAAAGATACGTCTCAAGCGGTCGGTCACTGGCAGGTACCACATTACCAAGGCAGGAATTCTTCTCTGCTTTGCATCGTTGCCTAATGGAGTGTCCTCTGGGGGTTGGGATTCTTGTACCACCTTTTTTGTACCCTTCCTATTCCTCTTTTTCCCATGGAGGCTTCGTCCCCACCGTAAAGGTCATTGTTCTTGTATCGGCTGGCCCCACACCGGGGACATTTATCTAGTGACTTGAATGTTTTGCCATGAAAAAGGATACTGTGGTTGGGGCATGCATGGATTTTTTCAACCCCATTGTCAATGGACTTATGACCTTCTTCGCTTGGTATGTATTGGCGGGAACTGAGTTTGGTTGTGGCAGCACCCATGACAGAAGACGCAATAGATCATTGAAACTACAGTCTGACCAGCCATACTTAGCCTTCAGGATGAGTACCTCAAGCACAAAACATAGCAATATCCAATGTGTCGGACAACCCTTTTCAACACCATACACAGTCTCCTTCGATGTTTTTGTCACCCTTTCCAAATTTTCTAGACCTTTCAGGCTCTTTAGTAAAATCTCTAGTCCAAGGGCTCGAATCATGTCCTCCAAATCATCTTCATCCCCGACACGTGCTCCACCATTATTATTGGCACCACCTTCGTCGTTATCATCCCAACCACCAGGATCACCACCTTGTTCATTGCCAAACTCGGGATCCATTTATGCATCAAGCTCTGCTAAATATTGGGACAGAGATTCTAGGGTTTCATCGTCGTATTCCTCCTCATCCTCATCGTTAACAATAACCATTTCACCATGATGAATCCACACTGTGTAGTCCTCAATAAATCCTCGCATAATCAAATGTGATATGATGATAGTCATATCTGTCCATGCCATACGGTTCTTGCAATCTTTATAGGGACAAATAATTGTATCCTTATTCTGAGTCAACGTCATTGCATGCTTCTCTGCGGCTTCAATAAATTTATCCACCTCTTCACGAAAACCTGCCTTAAACCTTAATGAACCATACATCCAAGAGTTCATGTACTCCATCTTTTACAACAACAACAAAACAAACATTAAAGGACTACTTGTTCATATATATATATATATAAATGAATCAAATTAATAATTACTTGAGAATAATTGTATATAGTTCAGATATATATGAATATAAATCAAATATAATTACATGGAGCATACAAACACACCATGGTAGAGGAAAATTAATTAATGGCTCATTTATCCATAAATAATTAAAATACATATTTGTTGATCACAATAAATAATTTCAAAGACAACAATTAGTAACAATTATATTTTACCCAATATCTTTCATGCAAACCCTAGTCTAATTTCATCAAACATAAATTTATAAAAACAAAATTAATAAAAAAACAAACCCTAGATCTAGATCTACATACACATGAAACATCCATAAAACTAACTAATTGTTCACTAAAATCAAGAAACATGGACCAAATAAGGGTATGATCTTGTTCCCCTACCTAATTTACCCTAGTACATTCAAAACTTGGGTCTAATTTGCTTCATAAGTAGCTCAAGCACCATAGAAGAGAGAGAAAAGCAAAACTCTAATTATTCACTAACCAACCATTAAAACTTCAAAAAAGTGTAGAATAACATTTTCTTACCTTCGATAACCTCTCCACCAAATGATTTGAGACCAAAACCTTCCCCCTTAGTAGAGCAATTTTTGAGAGGTGCCCAAGGCCTCTCTACCTTTTTTCATGGGTTGGAGTGAGTGACCCGAGGAGGAAGGCGGGGATGCAGTTTTTTATACATGGGTCATTTGTAGGGGCGGCTGGTGATTGAGCCGCCCCTACAAATCACAGGTATTTATACGTGGGGCATTTGTAGAGGCGGCTCAATTACCAGCCGCCCCTACAAATAGCAACACCGGGGGCGGCTGGTGAGTGAGCCGCCTCTATAAATTGACCCATTTGTAGGGGCGGCTCCTATCACCAGCCGCCCCTACTGTTCCATTTATAGGGGCGGCCGGTCTCGTGGGTCCCAAGCACGTCCATTATAGGGGCGACTCCATCACCAGCCGTCCCTAAAAAAATTATCCCGTTGCTACAAACGTTTTTTTGTAGTAGACCAAAACGTTCTTTGCATATCCATAACCGTATCTGTTTTAAATTGTCCATGTTTTTTGGACAGCCCGAGGATGTATAGATGAGGTTAGTTTCCATGCTCTACTCCGATCCAAGACAGAGTTTCGGCAGCATCTCCCTGTTGTTCTCTAGATACACAATCTCCCTGCCAGGATGTGTATTTGGAGAACAGTGGGGAGGTGCCACCAAAATTCTGTCTCGGATAGGAGTAGAGCATTAAAACTAACCCCATCTACACATCCTCGGGTGGGATTAGGATCTCTCTTCACCTATTAGACCGCCACGTAGGAACCTGTAGATGCAATTGATTTTTATATTACTTGCTGATATGTTAGAGGATGGATGACCATGAGTGGATGTACACGGGCCGCTCTAGTCAGGTTTCGTTCACTGATGAATGGATTGAGAAGACCGATGCTTTCTTGGAACTAGCATTTGCAAGGGTTAAAGGAGCGCGTGGCACTTGGTGTCCCTAGAGCATTTGTGCAAACACGCGTCGACAAACAAAGTTGGTCATGGGTAAACATCTTTGCAAGAATGGATTTACGGCGGACTATACCCGGTGGATCTACCATGGTGAATCCGATCGTGTGAGAGACGAGGTCGTGAGACAACGCATCGAGGATTATGATGCTGATGCGGGGTAGAAGACATGTTAAATGACTATCATGAAGCACACTTTAATGAAGGACGTAGGGAGGAGGAGCCAGAGCCAATCACAGAGGCGTATTACGATATGTTGTCTGCGGCACAACAACCCCTTCACGGGCATGCCAAGGTTTCTCAACTGGATGCCATTGCACGTCTAATGGCCGTAATGTCCCAATTTAGCTTGAGTCGAGAAGCCTTCGATGTTATGCTGACAGTTGTCGGTAGCCTGCTCCCGGATGGTCACATAAGGCCAAAGAGCATGTACGAGGCACAGAAACTCCTTCGTGCACTTAAGATGCCATATGAGCAGATACATGCTTGTCCGAAGGGATGCATCTTATTTAGAAAGAACATGCGAAAGCAAAGTACTGTGTGAAGTGTAAATCGTCTAGATTCCTAGAGGTAGACTCTGGTGATGGTCAGAAGAGGCAGCTCGCCGTCCCCGTGAAGATCCTATGGTACCTTCCATTCATACCGAGGATCCAACGGCTTTATATGACTGAGGAATCCGCGAAACAGATGAAAATGGCACAAATACGGACGTCAATACAATCCTAAGAAGCTTTGCCTAATGCCTGGAACATGGCACACGGCAAAGGAAGAAGCTTTGCTGAGTGCCTGAACTTTGACACACGACAAAGGAAGAAGCTTTGCTGAGTGCCTGAACTTTGACACTTGGCAAAGAAGCATAGTTTGCCGAGTGCCTGAGATTTGACACTTGGCAAACGCGCCCTGACCGTCTCCACTCCATCACGTTCCTTTTTTTTGCCGAGCGTCGGTTTCAGCTCTCGGCAAAATCTTTGTCGAGTGCCCGATAGAAAACACTCGGCAAAGAGACGTTTACCGGCACTGTAGATACCGTGTGCTGTTTGCCGAGTGTTACACTCGGCAAATTCTTTGCTGAGTATTTTTTGAGCTTTGCCGAGTGGCTGTGGCACACGACAAAGCGACTATTTTCGGTAGTGATCGCTCCCCCTGTCTTCTCACTGGCCGCATTCCCCGGATGTTGGAGCTATCTATCCTATCCTCCCATTCCCCTTCCCAGCTCGCTTGTCGCCAACCAACTCTCGGCAGTCTGCATGCCGCCCGCCCGGCTTATTGCATTGGATTCCTGCCGACGATGTCTCGTCCTGGGTTGTGGCCTTCTGGGATAAGCTACTACTAGTACCACCAGATCTTGGTCCTCAAACAATCAGGGAACACTCAATCATGCATGCACATCTCGATATCATCAGGAGTTTGCCGTTGGCTTTACAGTCTGTTGACATGGCTCTATCAGGGAACAGTGCTAGTAGCAGTGTGTCTGCTTGTTGCGCATATATATATATATATATATATATATATATATATATATATATATATATATATATATATATATATATATATATATATATATATATATATATATATATATATATATATAGTGCCACTCGGCTCTTGGTTAGTTGTCAGGTGTATGTATATACAAAGCAAGAGAATGTATGGATGCTCCCATGATTGCATGCACAGTGTTCTTTTCTATCTGCACGTAACGTACCTAATCACAATCGTGCCGTGGTCATGTTACTTTGCGAAGCGCGTGTGAGTAGTTTAGTACTCTCTCATATTACGTTTTGGCTTTTTTTATATACAATTAATTTTATTATAAACTTAGTATATATCTAAGTGCATAGCAAAAACTATGTATCTAGAAAAGCCGATACATCTTATAGCTTAAAACGGAGAGATCAGAGAGTTGAGAAGTCTCTTATAACTTCATAATTGACCAGAGAGCTGAGGGAAAAAATCTGGAATGCATGGGGTTTTTTTATAGGAAATCTGGAATGCATGGTGATATATATATTATTTAGTCATAGCTCATGATCAGTAGCAGTACAACGACGAAGGAACATCATACATATCATGACATGTTGCCTTACGTGCAGTGCATATAGTTCCAATTAATGAATAGTACATGGGAGATTAATTATATGCTACAGATTCTCTGAAGATTTAGCTTGTTTCTTCAGATCATCATGGATACAACGTAACTAACAGAGCATCAAGAGAGAAGATCTTGGCGCTAGCTAGCTAGTAGCGCTCCTCTTGTTGTTGGCGACAGCCTTGTGACGAGTAGGTCCTGATGGCCTGGAGCACGGCTTGCTTCACGACATGCTCATCCACATTATCCACCTGGTTCTGCATCTATCGCATTATTAGTTTCAGTGGGTATATGCATCATCACACTTAACACGATGAGCACGGGCACGGCATGCATGATTTATTACCTCTCCCCCAATAGCCTCGAGGCGGAATGTATCCTCACAAGACACCGTGGCTTGGAGTACGCTGAGGCCCAGCTCATCAAACGCCTCCAGGATAGACACAAGCAGCCCGGGGCAGCTCTTGTCAGAGAACACGTTGATGAGGAACCCGTGCCCTGCTCCTGCTCCTGCTCCTGCTAGGGTTTCCACGGTGACCTGATCGATGTACATACATACACTTGTGTGTTGGATCCATCGAAATGCATCATCTCAATAAGGTGTGTGTATTAGTGCTACTACTATATAGCTAGCTATACCGCCGGGGAGGGGGATGAGGAGCTGTGCTTGAGCTGCAGCGCGCCTCCTCCTGCTGCTTCTTCACACGCCATCTCCTGCTTGAGCCTGACGACCTTCTGCTTCAGCTCCTCGATGTACTCCGACGCGTCCATGATTATGGAGGCGTCGCTCAGCTGTGCAGTGGTGCCCAGCAGAAACAATTAATCCCAGGTAATTAACTGTTGTTTGCTGGCGCATGCAAATGCAAGTGCAGGTCGACCAGTCACATCCTGCGTGCCACCTGTTCAAGGGCCGGAGCTGAGCCTCAAGATTGTTTACTGCTTCGTTTTAGGACGACATCTATAATAATCCTATAGTTTACAGCATATTCTTCAGCTTACGTGCATGTCGACCTCTGCTTGCTCTTTCAGTTACTACAGAAGGGTTGGGTACTAATCCTTGCTGTATGCACTCTATCTCTAGCAAACATTATTTGAGACCAAAGTAAGCTCTGCATTGAAGCTGACTGCTACATACTCTAGTTCAAGGCATCAAATAAACATACTAGTACTAGTAACTAAAAGAGAACATATAGGCAGCTAGATATATAGCTAGGAGTTTGCGTAGTACTGGACTACTAGCTGGTTCGATGCTCAATGGAATCGGATCGGAGCAAAATTTGCAGGAGAAACGAAGACAGGAAAAAGGGAGTAGAAACAAACAAATACATGCATGGCTAGGTGTCTAGCTAATTACCGCGCGGGAGTGAGTGATGGAGCGCAGGATCTGCAGCTTCTCATGTAGAGCGCCCGCTGCCTTCTTGCGCTGCTCCCTCGACATCATCCGATCCGGGCGCCTCTCCGATCCTCTCCAGTCTCCAGATCTCTTGCTCTGTCGCTTCAACACAGGGTATGTATCGGATCAGAGTCCAAGAGCTAGGGCTGTGTGGCCTGCGTCAAAGGAGGATATATATATATCCACAAGGCTAACACGCCCTTTATAGTGGCCCGCCATGGTTGCCACTCACGTGACCTTATTGTTTTTTTTTCCCTGGGGAAAATGGTATGGGAGGGCACGAGGGAGAGGGCGCTAGTCAGCTAGAGAGAGGGGTGTTATGAATCATGACGGTGGAGCTAGCATGAACAAAACTATTATGCATATATCTACACTGTTCGTATTGGTTGTGGCCTGCTTCAGAGGAGATTGATAGCATGCTCCTATAAGTTGCGGGCACAATCTTTACTTGGGGTGCCTGCGTCATGTTGCTGGACTAGGCGGCGGGCGAGCGGGTAGGTGGGGTGCGTGAGAACGAGATGAAGGTTTAAGATGAGCGCTCGTATGCTTACCGACGCACGCGCGCTAAGAAAGGACGCCCGATTGCGGGTTCAAGTATGTTTCCATGGGTGTGGATGCAGGTTTTCATTTTAACGTAACAAGTCGAGGTTCATGGACCAATTCTAAGGTTTGCAAGGGATCTCTGCACTAGCGGCACGAAGAGGTGAAAACCAAGCTCATTGCCCCTTAATTATAGCCGCACTGGATCTACTTGCCACAACGCCGCCTAGTAGATCTGGTTGGTATGCTAGCATATATACCCGTAGGTGACTGGCGTAGGTACACTACCTTCCTCATGGCGGATGGTGGGCCGAGTGCAGGTTTAGGATTTACCTCTTCAATATAGGTTTGTATGGACTCGCTACCCATGGGTAATTTAATGCGGACATTACCATCTCCTTCCTGTTCTGATCCTTTGCGGTCACTTTCAATATAGAACAATTTTTCTTTATGACTTAAGTTTTTTTTACCTGAATACAACTTCTTTTGAAAAATTTTAGGGTGGTTTCCTCTAATAAGTCCACGTACGTACCCCCTGCATATATATCAAACTTAAAACTTTTATTAACGAAGGACCGAGATCACAACTTTGGGAGCTTTTGGGCCTACCTTTTTTTTCTTTTGAAAATAAGACCTAGTTGTTTACACAAAAAAGAACATAAGACCCAGTTGAGAATTCAGAAAAAAGCTTAAAGAGCTAGAGCATTTCACTCGTGAAATTAAACGTGCCACCGTGGCAAGGGGAGCTGATGGCACAGCTGGAGGATTCATTCTTTGCTAGAGGCCCGAAGGACAGCTTGGAATACATGGTGAGCTAGCAATTGTAAGCTTGCGCAGCCATTCTGCAAGTGCATGCAGTGCCACAGCCCACGGGTTCCTCAGCTCTTTCGTTCTCATCTAACCGGCGCACGGGCTGCGTGTCTTGTTCTCACCCCAAACACCTACTCCCTCCATCATTTTTAACTATCGTTCTCACCTACTGTCGAATTTTAACCAAATATATATATATAATATTAATATTTATGATATATAATTAATATCATCAGATAGATTTTTAAGTCTACTTTCCTAATAAACTTGTTTGTAAATACAAATGCTGCTAATATTTTCTATAAACTCAGCCAAATTTTTTAGAAAATAACTGACACGCACCCCATAGCGACACTTATATAGAGACAAAGGGAGTAGGTTTGTATGCGCCTACGACGTACAACAACAGGGAGCGAGCTTGATGAAATAGCCCTAGCATGGGCCTGGACATGGACCTGTACAAACATACAATGAACACACAAAGATATAGTGTGATGGCCCACCGTGTACACTACGTGAAAAACAGTTTGTAGCAATGGAGCTTTTTTTAGGGGTGGCTGGCATTGGAGCAGCCCCTACAGTAGCGTACTCGGGCTCTAGCACAGCAGCCGCCCCTACAAATAGGTCGATTTATAGGGACGGCTGGTATGTAGAGGCGGCTATTACCAGCCGCCCCTGCTGTGTCCATTTGTAGGGGCGGCTGAATCACCAGCCGCCCCTATAAATGCCCGCTGTATATATAGCAGCCACCTTCTTCATGACTTCACTTTCCCCAAACTTTTCTCTTCCACCGAGCTACAGCCATTCGCTGCCCCCAACCCTCTCCTTCCCCTCATCGCTCGAAGCTATCCGGCGGCCGCAGCGCCTTCCCCTCACCGCACCCAGCCATGGGGCGTCCCCATCCCCTCTCCTGCTCGGCTGCTCCTCTCCGCACCACAGACATTCGCCGCCGTGCCGCACCGTACCCATCGGCCGCTGCCACCCCTGCCACCTGCGCCGCCGCCACCAATGCCCGGTGTCACTGCGGGTGGCCCAAAGCCACCGGCCAGCGCTGGACGCCTGGTCCGGCGGTGCCGCAAACCTCCAACGGACGGGGCGGAGGGGCACCGCGCCGGTGCCGAGGGGCCGAGCGGATATGCGTCGGGGCGCCGCCAACCGGGGGCCGGGAGCTCAGCGGTCGGGCACCGAGCGATGAGCGGCGAGCGGTCAGCCTTTTCCGTTTATCCTCTCCCTCTGAACTCATCCCCTAAGAGGGCTTCAGATCTGAGCATACCCATTAGTGTGTAGGGTATTGGTGCCTAGATTTTGGTGTGAGCGACTGGAAATTTGTTTCTGCTCTGTACACCGGCTGAAGCTTCTCCAACATTGACGGTAATGTGTAGTTGTGCTTTTTCTTGGCGCAATTTATTCTTTCTTGTATGGCAATTTTTTTAGTTTTGGTTTGAAGTAAATGAATCATGAATTGTTTCTTTTTTTGTCTTGTTTCAGATGTAGGGAGGGGTTGGAGATGCTCATGCCAACCAACTTGGACCACGATGAAGGTCATTTAGTAGCCTTGTATTGTGTGGTGAGTAGCCTACTCAAAGCATGTGTGCTGGTATTAGCATCTGCATATTGGAAGCAAGTCATGTGTTCTAACAGAGCTGCAGCGATTGGGGTGAGGCAGAAGAACATGAAGCAATGATGCCGGCGCAGAATGGGCATGTCGATGGACATGAGTGCTTTAACAATGTCATCTTGGTCAGTTCCTAATTCTTTTAATTTACTATGCTCAATGATGATTCATTACACATTTATTTTGTCTGATAGAAATGTAGATGTAAAGGCATTCTCCTATTGATGTGTATCCTGATGTGTAGTTTATTTGTCCTCACTAAGCTGTGCCTTATTACAAACATGGAGCTTTTGCATAGTGCCATCCAACACCATATGTCCTAGGCCTTCCCCATCTTTGCAACACGATGGTGAGATCCCTGGTTGTGCTTGGTTCTGCTATATGGTACACAGATTATTTTTCTCTAATGCAACTCTCTATGTGTTATTTACAATAATTTGATAGGAATTTTTCCAAAATGAGTTAAGCTTCTTGGTAATTACTAATATTCAACATATTCAGAACTTGCCAATCAAACCAGCGAAAATTTCAAAATGAGATGAGCTTCTTAGTAGTTAATGAAATTATAAGATCATTCACTCTGTAGTCTCTACCCTCAAATCGATCGTGCCAAGACTCACTGTAAAAGCTAATGACTATGGGTGAATATACTATTATACTCATTTCTAATATCATACTAATATGGGTGAATTCTTTTATAAAACAAATCTGGTGTACAGTTTTTATTAAGTATGCACTACTATTCATTTTTAGTAAGTTACCTTGCACACTTCCTTGTAGTTGACTTCTATAGGATCTCATGCTCATGCTATCACTACCACAGACCGTTTTTCTCTCAACTCTGATGTTTTTATCTCATATATCTTGCTGCAAAGTTGGATACCAATTTTTTTATCATGTGCTGCAGAGTGCAGACTCTAATGTGACATGAGCTGTAAATTTCTAAGAGGTAAATTGATCTAGTTCTCTATTGTTGCCATTTTTTTCTGCCTATAGAACTGGTTTTTTTTCTTCAAAGTTACAGATCCTGTATTGAGCAGTAGCGGTATTGGTGCTTCTGAAGTAGTTGCTAGTCACATTATTCTTAGAAAACAAATCTACACAATCATGGATCTCAACATTATTCTTAATTTTTTTGGGAGAGAACTAAATCTCAACATATATTCTAATGAGAAATCGTCGATCTCAGATTTGTCCAGGGCCTGCTACCATATCCTTCCAGACCCCACTTAAACGATAGACATTTTAAATAGCCAATAAGTTTTTCCTCTGTTATCTTGCCTTACATCACTATAACTGTGATGATGTTCTTCTCATAAAAAAAATTGAGACTTTAACTGTTGCATAATTAGTAGGGTGTGATGATATTGTATGGACTGCTGTGTGTGATAAACTGCTTTAGTTATCATTAGAATGCTTGTTAGTTACTGTTTTAGCAGGCCACTTGAGGTACAGTTCTACTTTGGTCAATTATCTTATTGTAGCCTTATGCCCAAAACATGTATGGATCATATTAGTACTTTACTTGCAGCTCATTTGTCAAAATTTTCAAATAGGCATACCACCAGAATTAACTAGCCCTTTTGAATCACAATACCTGGTACATCACACTGGTGATATAGTTATCAGCCTACTAACTAGACCATTCTGAAATTTTTATGTTCCTACAAGTATTGATTTACTATATACACAACAAACATGAATATAACTCTTGTTTCCACATTTCATGATTCATGTGCGAAATGTAAATATATATGTTCTGGTCGAATTTGAATTGTAAATTTGAATTTTTTTTGCGAAAAAATATACTGTAAGAGCTGTTCTAGACTGAACCGTCCCTACAAATAGGTATTATAGGGGCGGCTGGTACTACAGTCGCCCCTACAAATCGATTTGTAAGGACGGTCTAGGAACCGCCCCTATAAATACATAATTTGTAGAGACGGTATGGTAGGGGTGGCTGGCCAAGCCGCCTCTACAAAGCCTCACCAGCCACCCCTAGAAACCATTCCTGTAGTAGTGGTACCTGCTTGGACTGGAGCTACGAATGAATGCCCAATCGTGTGTGATGTTTGGTTTGATT